TTGGACTAACGAATGCAGCGGCGGCCTTTATGCCATTGATGAATGATGTGTTTCACGATTACTTAGATATTTTCGTGATCATTTTCATCGATGACATCCTCATTTACACACGAAGTGAAGGAGAGCACGAGGAGCATTTGAGAAAGGTATTGCAGAGACAACAAAGCCAAAAGCTATATGCAAAGATTAGCAAGACCCAGTTTTGGCAAAGAGAGATTGGATTTTTGGGACATCGTGTTTCGAAGCAAGGAGTGTCCGCAGATCCTGAATAGATAGCGGTAATTTAGGATTGGCCGCAACCTACCAAGGTGACAGAGATCCGGGGCTTTCTTGGATTGGCCGGCTATTACCATAAGTTTGTAAAAGGTTTTTCATCCATTGCGAAACCTTTGACCAAACTGACTGGGAAAGGATTTCCCTTTGAATGGATTAAAGAAACGAAAGAGGAATTTACAAAGTTAAAAGAATGTTTAATTACATCACCAGCCCATATTCGGTATATACAGACGCATCAAGAGTGGGATTGGGATGTGTCCTAATCCAAGAATACAAGGTGATTGCCTATGCATCAAGGTAACTGCGAAAACACGAGGAGAACTATCCTACTGATGATTTAGAGATGGCAGCTGTTGTGTTTTCATTGAAGATATGGAGATTATACCTTTATGGAGAAAATGTGCAACTCTTTACGGATTACAAAAGCCTAAAGTACTTGTTCACACAAGCAGACTTAAATTTGAGACGGTGGATGGAGTTCAATGCAAATTATGATGTGAAGATCCAATATCATTCAGGCAAAGCAAATGTAGTGGCAGATGCTTTAAGTCGGTGAAAGGTAGACGTAAGCATGGAGAAGGAGCTAGAGTCTTTAAACCATGAGTTAAGAATGGTGAGTTTGTCAGCCCTGGAAGGGGAAACAAACGAACCATTAGGACTTCAAGCTGTAAACCAGGCCAGTTTGATACAGAGAATTCGAGATGAGATACGAAGAGATGAGAAGATCTGCAAGATTATCGAGAATATTGTAAATCCAGAAAGAGTTGGCGCAAGTGAATCTCATTTGGCGGAAGATGGTACACTCTTACTGAAAGGAAGGATCACAGTGCCAAAAGGAGGCGGCCTAAGAGAGGAGATCTTGAGGCTAGCACACCAGGCGGTATTAAGCATTAATCCAGGTAGTACCAAGATGTACAGAAATATTTGAAAGTAATACCATTGACCAGGAATCAAGCAATCAGTTGCAGAATGGGTGGCAAAGTGTCATGTATGTCAACAAGTGAAGGCTGAAAAGTACCTAGCGGATTATTGCAAAGCTTACCCATACCAGAGTGGAAATGGGACCCAATTTCTATGTATATGATCACGGTCTTGCCCATAGCAAGAGGAAGAATGAACTATGCAATATGGGTAATTGTAGATCGGCTAGCTAAAGTAGCACACTTGTTAGCTATTCGAGACTCGGATAAGGTTGACACATTGGCCGAGCTTTACGTGAGTCAAATCGTGAAATTACATGGACTACCAGCCAATATCGAATCTGATAGAGATCCGAGATTCACTACAGAAATTTGGAGAGCGCTCCAAGGTGCTTTGGGAACAAAGTTGAACATGAGCACAGCATTTCACCCACAGACGGATGACCAGAGAGAAAGAACCATTCATACTTTGGAAGATATGCTTAGAACATGCATACTAGATTGGGCTGGCGTTTGGGAAGACTACTTGCCATTGGTGGAGTTTTCTTATAACAGTAGCCATCACATGAATATTGATATGTCACTCTAAGAAGCACTCTACGGGAGACCATGTCGAACAACTTTGTGTTAGATAGAAGTTGAAAAGAAGAATGGTTGGACCACCAGCATTGAAGAAACCATGGATAAGTTACATCTTATTCGGGAGAATATGAGAAGAGCGCAAGACCTACAAAAGAAGAATGCAGATCCAGGGCGAAGAGAAGTGACCTTCAAGCCAGGAGATTCTGTATATCTCAAGGTTTCAGCACATAATGGAAAAGATTGTTTCGGTAAAGTAGGGAAACTTGCCGTTTGATATATTACTCCATTTAAAGTGACAGGAAAAGTGGGGGAAGTGGCATATAATTTGGAGTTACCATCGGACATGAACCTCCATCCGGTGTTTCACGTATCAATGCTTCTGAAGCATGTATGTGACCCTAATGCCATTGAGACGGAAAGAGTTGAAGAACTGCAGACGGATCAAACGTATCTCAAGGGAAGAACACAGATTGGGTTTCGACGGGTAAGGGAACTCAAGAACAGAGAGATTCCACAGATTCAGGTCTTCTCGGGAAGATAGAATCGTATGGTCGTTACGTGGGAAGACGAGGAGAGGTTTCAAAGTGAATATCCAGAGTTCTTTGTCGAGCCAACAACCATGGAGCATGGAGAGTCATCGAGACCTTAGCGGAATTCCGATAAGGGTGGCGGGGGGAGAATGTAATAACACTGATAAGCGATGAGGACGACTGGCCAAGGAACGGCCGAGAGAAATATTTGGCCAAATAATGGTCTAAAATTTGGTGGTGACGTATCTACTCAAAAGATGCTTGGATCAACGAGATTGGCCAATGTAACTTTGTTGGTCAGAGATGAATGAATCTAGAGATACACTGAGACCATTGTTTCGGTCACACAAGACACATGAGGTGATAAATCTAGAGCAGTCAGGGCATAATATCGCATGACTAACAGTTCAGCCAACCGCATACCAAGTAAGCACGAGGTGTCGTATGAAGACTGCTTGCAAACATAAGCGGGTCAGTCAACGACCTAACTGTGCATGAGATATCCCTTAGCTATTCTGTCCCTATTGATACACAAATAATCATTTATCTGGTTAAAGCGCTACTTCGTCTTTAGAGATTCATGGATAAGCATGAATCTGCTAAGGTGCTATTTCGTCTTTATAGATTAAGGGATAAGCGCGAATCTTGTCAAAGGCTATTTCGTCTTCATAGATTAATGGATGAGGACGAATATGGTCAAGGTATTTCGTCCTTAAAGGTGAGGAGATAAGCACAAAACAGGCCAGATATTATTTCGTCTTTAAAGATGAAGAGATGAGCATGGTCTCCTATTTCGTCATCATGGATGAAGAGATGGGCATGGACTCCTATTCTGATTTTATGAATGAGGAGATGAGCATGGACTCCTATTTCGTCTTTATGGACGAGGAGATGAGCATGGGCTGCTGTTTCATCTTCTTTGCTTCGTGGATAAGCATGGATTGCTGTTTCGTCTTCATGGGTTAGTAGATTGGCACGAATGACTGTCACGTAGCCATTGGATAAGCTACCCACGTTCAAGGCACTCCTTCCCCTTTTAAATAGCTATTCCTAGTTCCATTCCTAACTCATTCCGTCACATTCAAAGCTAGAGAGAGACTCTTAGAGAGAACATAAATATTTTAGAGAGAGAAGTGTTAAAAGAGAAAGAGAGAGTGACCACTTAGGAGGGATCCAGTTATAGCCACTCAAGACCAGTGCTAGGAGTGAAGCTAGCCAGTTCAATTCTTCTGGAAACTATGAGGAGAGTTTGCTTTATAACTTTCACTAAGAGGAGAGTTTTGTGAAGAGTTATGTTGCAAAAAATTTATTAAGTATGTTGTATTAACTTTTAAAAAAAAGGAGTTTTGTGAACAGTTATGCTGCAGAAATGTTGTGGATGTGTATGTCTTGTTAACTTTCATAAGACGGACTTTATGAAGAGTTACGCTGCAGAAATGTTGTGAGAGGACCACATGGGTCGAAGACCACGTGTGTGGATAGGGGCTGTGTATCGGCGGTCCGACAGACTCAGAGTGACTTGGGTCGCGCCCTTGGTCGGGTAATGCATCACGATGCATCCGATTTTAGAGGCAAAAGGCAATTCGGGCTGACTGTCGAGGCAAGGACAGGTCGGGTTGATGTTCCGGCCTATGGTCCTTTGTGGTAAGTAGGTGCGGGTGTTCAAGTGAAGTTTTGGGAAACCGTGAACCAATACACCTAGAGATCTCAAAAACCCACTCAGTGTCTGAACATGCGTAGCATGCGTGCTATGAGGTCTTGTTCGGCATTGAGCTGAGAGTTGAATACTCGTGGCAAGAGTGCTAAGGGACTTATTCGGTGTTTTGTGTGGTGTTGAACATACTTAGCGTTGAGGCTTGGATGATGTTCAATGGTTAGGCTTAGTAACCGCAGTTGCTATAGCCTCAGCATGCATAGTAACAGTGAGGTTACTATGGACATGCCACCATTGTTTGAGTTTCCGCTTGTTTTATTGCTTTGATATTGTTGCATGGTGAAAGCATGCATTGCTTTTTTTTATTTTGGGGTTTTGGGTTAGGGAATTAACTGTTGTATAGAGGGTCTTGGACTCACTGGATAGTATTAGATTGCTCATGTCTCACCTATTTGTTTCAGGAAATCTCTAGGAGATCAGTAAGGGGTGTATGGAACGAGACCGGAGTAGATTGGCGTTGGCTTTTGTAAAACCGGTTGGTAGTTTAATGTATGTATAATATTTTGGCTCTAGGCCTCAGCTAAAACTTATATAATGTTTGTAAGAATCCTTATTTTTGAATGGTATAATATATGGAGTATGTTTTGTGAAAAAATGGCTTGTGTTCAATGGTATTAGCTTAGTCAAAAAACACAACTCGAAACCTCAGTACGGGTTAAACAGCCTTAGGACAAAGGTGTACAGGTTCGATTGCTGAAAGTATTTAGGATTTAGTTTTTGATTCGTTCTTAGTACTAGGACCTGACTGCTCTCAGCGATCATATTGTGGCGCTTTCGGTTTATTTATGTCTAGATCAAATCGGGGGTGTTACATCTAAGTCTCTCAACAAACGTCTATGGAATCCTGCTAGCCCATGGAAGCATTGTTTGTGGAACGATATGATGGAGATATAACATTCAATTCCCCTGTCGTGGTGCCCTCCTTGTAGAGATTAACTGGGACATGAACTCTGCAACATGTGGTTGATTTGTAATAGATGCCCCTTCTTTGAAGTACCTCCACATTACAGATATTATGCTTTACAACTTCCGTCAAATGGAGAATATGACTTAGTTGGTCGAGGCACGTGTTTGCATTGCCTGTGGAGGTACCCTGAAGTTTCTAAAAGCTCTTACTTCTGTCCAACGCCTTTTGCTATCTTTATAACGCCTTTTGCTATCTTTATAACTCTCAGAGGTAATAATAACAAAACATTGAATCTTGTGATTGCATATTAATGTGTTATTCTTCCTCTCAATAGTACTTATCTTGTTGTGTATGAAAAAAAAAAACAGGTGATGCATCCTTCTGGTATGAATATGATGTTCAATCAACTTGTTCATCTGGACTTGTATACATTTACTAAGGCTGGTCGGATCTTTTTACTTTTATGCTCCCAGCTTCCTCCAAACTGCGATTCCTCAGACTCACCCAAGTATGTGGTCTCTATAATATCTGCTTTTATCCGGTTTAGTTTCCTAATATTGTTGATATTGACTGATAACTATCTCGTTGGTCATAGAAAATTGAAAATGGTTGACATTCTTGCAAAGAAACCCCATTTGGTTGGAAGCCACCGAGTTCTGTTCCATGGTGTTTATTGTTTATTCTCCAGTCATTGTTTTAGTAACAGATAGTTTACTAGATGGCTAATGACTAAACTGTCTTTGGACTTGGCCATTCTCGGATTGCTTAATACCATATGCACTTATAACAAAGCCTAAAAAGACAAGGTTATCAGTACAAAAAGTGCATTTTTTAAGATTGGCAAACACTTGCACCATTCTAAGAACAATTAGAACCTTTTTCAGATGTTCAACATGCTCATCAAGACTTTTGCGATAGACAAAGATATCATTCGAGTAAACTACAACAAAGACTCCAATAAAAGCTGTCAGAACATGATTCATCAACCTCTTGAAAGTACTAGGTGCATTTGTCAAACCGAAGAGCATAACTAACCACTCATACAAACCATGCTTAGTTTTGAAAGCCGTTTTCCATTCATCATCCTCTTCCATGCGAATTTGGTGATAACCACTTTTACGATCAATGTTAGAAAAGATGCAAGAACCACATAACTCATCAAGCATGTAATTTAATCTAGCGATAGGATGGTGATACTTTACCGTGATTTTTTTTATAGCTCTGCAGTCAACACACATGCACCAGCTTCCATCATTGTTTGGCACAAGCGTCACTGGACGGTTTGGCAGTGAAGCTCCTGGTACAAAGTCAATCTGATGTTCAATCCCTCTGATTGGTGGTAATCCTTTAGGGTTGTCTTCATGGAACACATCTCCCAAGTCCTGCAAAAGAGATAGAATACAACTCGGCACCACCGGTTCAGGGTTAGTAAGATTTGGAGCTTCTTCGTACAAGAGTACAATCACAAATTGATTAAAAAACAAATCTCTCTTAACCTCACTTGTCCTCACATAAAAGTGTTGGGGTTTCCTCACGAGTATACTCTCACAGGCCTTTGACTTAGCTTTTCTCAAACTTTCACTATTTTTTTGGTGTAAAATGTTTGTGGTTCACTCAGAGTGTTTGCTTCTTCTTTCTTGCTCAAGTGTTTTTAATCCTGATAGATCTCTATTGGCATCATAGGTATAAGAGTAATCTTTTTTCCTTTGATCACAAATGAATGCCATGGCCTTCCCAAAAGAATATGGCCTTCCTCTAGGGTTTTCACGAGCCAGTTTAAAATTTAATGAGGTCCTCATAATCTCATAACCTTACCCTTAGCCAAATGAAAGCACTTGATTTGCATAAGCATAATTCAGATGGTTACACTTAATTAAATGTTAAAAAGATTGATTGATGTTATTGCTTTTGTAGGCTATACTTAAGTGCTAGTTATTGCTCTTGATGAATGTAGTTATAGTTTTTAGAGTATATCAAAATCATATGCATCTTAGAATTCTTAACTTGGACAATGATCTCATTTCTTCCTTTGACATTTTAGGCTATGAACTCCGATTTTCAAACCTTATCCCCTATTTGTTCTTCTTACTTGCTTAACAACAAGCAAAAGGCAAGTTTGGGGGTGCTGATAGACATCATATTTACTGCATTTTAGAATGAATTTTGATATGGTTTTTTGTCTTTCTCTTGTATTCGTTTACATTTTTATTTTCTTTTGCATCTATTTTAGAGTTAGTGAGTCTTATATTAGAAATTGCATCTTAGAAGCATTTTGGAGTGTAGGTATATTTAAGGCTTATGAGGATCACTGGAAATTTTTGGATCAAGATGAAGCAAAGAGGAGCACTCAAAGGAGATGAAGAAGTTTTGCGGGTTTGTATCGAGGTGGATATCGGGCTGCTGCTCGATGTTGAAGCAGAAGAAGCCTATATCGACGTTTGTATTCGGCATCACTCTGATACAGAAGAACCGGGGAAAACCAGAATTATGTGGAGTCTCAGTATCGGCTACTTGAATCGAGGACCAAGCTGATATCAAAAGATGGAAAAGTGTATTGTTCTTCTTGTTTGCTTAGCGACAAGCAATTCTGTGGAGTGTTAACCTGTATGGACGTGCAAGCCGACATCAGCCTCCTTCCCAGAAACTTTGACTTTGGTTAACGCTCAGAGTCAACCTGTTACCAAGTTGACCAAGCTATGACCCTCGACTATAAACGCAAAACCTTATCTTTTTAATCACTTATCTTGTTTTATCAATTTTTTATTTTATCTTTAAGAACAAAAAACCTTATCCTTATTCTCTCTGTCTCTTTCTTGAGAAATTTTTTTTGTTTTTGATATTTTATAAGCAACAATTTAAAGTTTCATTCTAAGTTTGCATTTCTTGTTATTGATCTTGTCTCTACTGCTTTTTATCATGTTCTCTTTCATCCCTTGCTTAGGTTTTGATAGATCAAACATCATTTGTGATTAGTCATTTTTGAGTTTAAGGATGAGTTAGATTTAGGATGATCCAAGGCTTATAATTTGATGTTTAGGTGTAGATGATGTTGGATCTTTCACTATTTGGTGTTTTTCATGCATGTCAGATTCGAACTTAGGATTTATCTTGCATTAAAACTGTTTGTTGAAATGCCTAAGCCAACCATGTAGTGGATTTACTTATCCTTACACATAGGACTGTTTCTTCAAGCTTGATTGTGTCTTGATCACTAATAAGAATAAGATCTTGATTAGGTTACTTTCATAGGAATCATTGTCCTCAGTGTGGATTGATTTATAAGTTTTGAGATCTATGTTAAAGGATCATGCATTCATTAATTGTTTCAACATCTTTGTTGAGGCCTAGGATCATCTTCTATCAATTATCCCATCTTAGAACGCGACTTGTTGAATTCAATCTTTTCCTGTTTTTTTGCTTTGTTTTGTTCTGTTATTTATTTTGTAATTGTTAGTTTAAGAGTTGTGTTTACTTGCCTTAATCATTGTTCATTGTCATATTTCTTTTACTGCATTTCACTTTGATGATCACTTAGGTTGTTAGACTTTAAAACCAATCTTTTTTGCTTTGCTTAGCGTACAAGATCATCATGTATTCTCTATGAATCATCTTACGTGTTTGGATTGATCCTTAACTTCTACAATTGAATGAGTACGTTTGAGTATTATTATGTGAGCAAGAGCCTACTATCATGCTTCCACCGACTTGAGTTGGAGGGTATGTTTTGTTTTGAGGGTTCAACACGTTCTGATTCCAATATTGAATCCTACTTGACCAGCTATATAGTTGACATCCTCATATTGGATCTCCTCTCATTTGATGTAGGTTTTTATCCTATCTCAATCCTCAACCCACATTAGTCATTGTAGCATTGAGTTTAGTTAATCGATAAGGGGATGTTTGATACAACAAGAATGCAGTAAAGGTCTTAATGCAAGAAGGAATAGAAAATATTAGTCTAACAACCTAAAGGATCAAAGCAAACTTGAAGCAAACACTTAATGAAGAGCAACAAACAAGCAAAACATCCAAAACTTAAGCAAAAACAGAACTTTTTCGAAATCAACAAAAAACAGAGAAAAGACAGGACTGACGATGAGATAATTGGTATTAGAGAATTCTCTCCTCAATCCATGCTGCTTACAAACTCACGCAATGCTATTCCTTATGCATAAAATTCATTTATATGAATAATCTAAGCTCTTAGAACTAATCTCTTCATTAATTATCAAGTCAAGAACTAATTCTTAGTAGTGAAATGATAAATAGCAAGCATTAAGACATTCATTCAATCCTATATTGCTAAATAACTCCCTAGACAGTCAATCTCTTGAGCTAGGATAAGCAGTTCTCTTACATTGCAATTCAGGCATTTCAACAAACACTTGGTGGGTATAAATTGAGCCTATGATCCTAATCAACTTAGCTAGCACTAATCAGGTATTAAACACAGTAATTAAGAAAGAAAATGGAAGAATTAACACTAATACATCATGGATTAAGCATCAAATTCCCTAAACCTAACTCATCTCAAATCCGTAAAGAGAGTACTCACTAATCACCATCAAAACCATCAAATCAAATAAGAAAAGATAAATAATAACGATTAGGGAGACTAAACAAGAAGATAAATGCAAACTTATATTAAAATAGAGCAAAGATTCAAAAACTACAAAGTATGGTTCAGAACAAAAGAGGAAAGAACTGATGGATAAAAGCATGCTCCCAAAAATTAGGGATTTTAGTATTTATATGGATCCTAGGAAAGGTGGCAAAGATGTAAATAAGTGGTCTTTGGATTAGGAGAACATCGAGCTAGCTAGGTCGATGTGGATGCTCGATGTGCTGAAATCGAGCTGGTATTGCTAGATGTGGATGCACAATGTGTTTCTTTGGAGTCTTGGGTTCTTACATCGCGCGATGTCGTAGCTCGATTTTAGGTTGAGTGGGTTCATGAATACTTCTGTAACTTTCGACCCGCTGCTGGAATGACCTAAAACGAACCTCAGACGCAAGATAACTCATAGGGTTATAACATTGATGAAGAATGCTGAAGCTGAATCCTGATGAAATGCTTTATCCGAGCCGGTCTGTCAGACACAATTTCTGGCCGCTTCAACATAGATTTCTTCCTTCTCGGGTACACTACATCGTGCGATGTGGACTCCATCAAGCTCGATGCTGGGCCAAAATCCCACTTCCTTAGCTCCTTTTAATCCTCCTTGACTGGGGCAACTCCCTAAATCATTCCTATGCTTTATCCTTGTCTTTAAAGACTTCTTAGGTACCTAAAAACATCCTTTATGCAAAGCAAATGCAACCTACAACCTAAATGCAACCTAAGTCTAAAAACAAAGGAAAATGGGAGAAAAGCAAAGGAAAACATGCAAGAGAAGAACAAAACTTGAACTAAATACAGTCTTAAATGGTATAAATATC